TTCTTTTTTAAAATTTCTGGTCCTTCTGATGGGTTCAGAAGTGTATAGCCACCAAGGAATCAATTAATTGACCTGACCTTACTACCTCACATGATTTCAGTTTTCATTGAGTATTTTTTCTTATTTTTTGTTTTTTCTTACAAATGGTATTAATGTCAGTGACAAGAATGAATAGAATAAACTCTTAGTGAATATGTTCTGTCCATACATGTTAATCCAAGTGGCATTGGGTTATTTTTGGTATTATTATTAGTGTTATTATAATTGTTATTATTATTGTATTCAGTCATCATCACCACCATTACTACCACATCATTACCAGCACAACCACCATCACAATCATTATTATTAGCAAAATTTCCATTATTATTATTTTTTGGTTGTTGTGATTAAATGTATGTTTTTATCTTTAACTGCATCACATAAAAGATATATGTGACAAAATTGTATGCATTACTTGAATGTGAGAAATTTCTATTTATTATTAAACACAAATGCACTCCACGTGAGAACATTTGATTTTCATACTTGCAAGCCTACGAAATGCACTGGTTTTCAGAAAAAAAAGGTGTAGACCAAATTTAGGGTCTAATTCTCCCGGATCAATGACATGACGAATGCTGAAGTTTTAACGCTGAAGCTGTAAGGGTTATAGGTAGGAGGTGGAGTGAGATGCAGTGGTCAGTAGTCTGTCCACCAAATGCAAATATTTGTTTGGCCTACTAATTGTTGTACTTATACAGAACTGCATACATAGTTGATTTTAAGTGGATGATGTCAGATGTATAAAAGATTTATTTATGGCTTATATATGTAAACTGAAGAAACCTGGAACATTTCAATGTACCTATATCCCCCAGTAAGCATAAGCAACACAAAGTATTGATGCATTTGTTGTATGGTTTACCTTGTCAGCTGTGCCAACTTTATCACATCATTATAGCATGCAGTTGCAATATGTACCTTAGAAATTTCAAACATCAGTCACCATTTGTATTGAGCATACAAGGCAATACATACAGTGATGTCTGTACCTCCGTTGCAAAAAAGGGGATCACAAATTCTTATGCATTTTTTTTATTTTTTATTTATTTATTTATTTATTATTATTTTTTTAAAAATTAAACTGATGCGACTGGGGATGACATGTAAATATATGCCATGCCCACTGGGAGTTTAGTTTTTTAATTGTCTTTATAATTAGATGGTTCCACAAGTACTTAGTAAACAAAGAGTCCTTTACTAGTACTACCTATCTCACACATTTACTTTTCCTTGTTTTTTTTTTAATGTTTTTTTTATGTTGTATTGCAATTAGTAATTTCAATACTAGTATAGTAATCATAATGTCCATGATAATGATAACAGTATGGATATTGATAGCATTGATAGAAAAAGAGACTCTCAAGGAAAGGTGAAATCTTATGAGGTCACAAGGTCTACTAATTGTATGCTTGGTGGCTAAGCTCTTGTGGAGGTATCTGTTTGTAGAGACATTTCACAAAAGAGTAGTACTATGCCAGATGTAAACACATCCGCCATTTGACTGGTCTGTTATCTCTAAAGGGAGTGGTTGTTGTGGGTGTGAGTTGCACAGGTATGGCTTTGTACTGGAGGTGAGTAGAGATCAACGGGGAAACTGGTTAGGCTCCCCAGTAGTGGAGGCCTGGGCAGGCCTACTGTTGCTGCTGCTGCTGAGGTCGGGCTTAGTTGGAGGATCGTGAGATGATGATTTTGGCTGGGTGCCATAGCTTAAGTACTGTCAAGCTGTACCAGCTACCTAGGACAGAGGGGAGCCTGCAGTCCAATGAGTCTCATCCAATCAGGTTTTGGCATTACATCATCGATAAGCTGCTGATGATGAGGTGTGTGGACATATCTGTGGACCTAAGTGATCCAACGTGGGGAAACTATGCCAAGCTGCAGGTTATGGGGGTCATGTTACTACAGGTATTCCGTCTCTAGTGAGGGAGCTAAGCGAGCAAATGATAAGCTGTATTTGTCACTCCGGGGTCACCAGTATGGCTAATGAGTTTGCATCTGCCATTTGTGACTGGTCTATTATCTCTTAAGGGAATGGTTTTTGTGTGTGTGATTTCCTACAAGTATGGCTGAGTGCTGGATGTGAATGGAGATTGCCAAGCTGCAGGTTGCAGGGGTCGTGCTGATACAGTACAGTGAACACTATAATTCCCTGGAAGCATTGGCTTCAGGCATCTTTACTTTGATTAATCGTGTTCAATCTCAAATACTTTTGATATGAAAAAAATCGTTGGAGCTGCCAAATTCAAGATCAGACAATTACATGTGTACTGCATATAGAGTTTAGGTTCGTAATGCTTATAATGTTACATAATATGATAAGTGGAGACACAGTTTTCTAGTGTATCTTACATTTAGCAAATAAGGTCACTCACAAGAATTGCATCGCTGGTTCATTGTGTCTTAATTGTGCAGGCTGGAAGGGGAATTGGTAGTAATGTCTTTTGGAGTGTTTGAG